GATCCTTCTCTCACAGCTTCCAATACTCTGTTTTAGTTTTGTGTTGTTTCATGTTTTAACTACAGTGTGATATTGTAACTACAATATGGTGTTTCTTTTCTGGTTCATTTTGTGTTTCTGTAGGCTTCATACCTGGACACAGAAGTTAGTTTTCTTCCACTGATTTGCTGACTTTTCTTCTATGATTTTATTGAAAATATTTTTTCTGCCTTTGGCATGGAATTCTTCGTCTGTGTCTATAATCCGAAACTTTGTTGTTGTTGTTGTTGTTGTTTTTATGGTGTCCCAAAGATCTGTGTATTCCATTCATGCATTGTATTTTGCCTTTTTTTTTTTAATGTACACTGGTGTTCTGCTGAAGGTTTGTCTGTGTGAGGCTGTCAGATTCCCTGGAATTACAGAAAGCTGTAAGCTCCCATGTGGATGCTGGCAATTGAACCTGGTCCTTTGAAAGATCAGCCACTGCTCTCAACTGTTGAGCCATGTCTCCAGCCCCTGTATTTTGATTTTTTAATTTTTCATTATCTTTGGTGATCCAATTCCTGTCCCCTTGTTATTAATTCCTGGTATTCTGACTTCCATATGATCTAATCTATTGTTGAGACTTTTCATTAAGCTTTTGTTTAACTCATTCAATTTTTCATTCCCAGCTTCATTTCATTTTGGGTTTTCTTTCCGTTTCTACCTATTTATTGAATTCTGTTTTTATAACCTGAGCTGTCTTCATTCATCCATGTTTGTTTGTGTTCTCTTGAATTTATTCAGGAATTTATTCCTGTTCTCTTTAATTTCATTCTGGTGTCTTTGAATTATTTCAAAATATTTACAACTGTTCTTTTGAATTCTCTGTCTGGAATCTCATCTAAATTGTTCTTACTGAAATTTCTTACTATTCCTTTGGAGGAGCCAATATGTCTTGGGTTTTCATGTTGCCTATGGTTTTACAATTCAAGTTATGCAACCTTCACTTTGTGACTTTGGGTGTGGGGTTCTGGTCCTCCTATGTTTTGTGTTTAAGCCTTTGCTTGATATTAACCCTTGATTGGTTAGGCTCAACTGGGACATTTGAAGTTCAGTCTTGGGGTCGTTTGGTACTGACTCTTTGGTGGGGGTGGTCCCAGAGTGGATAGGGAAAGGTGTGGCCTCTAATTTAAAGAGTGGGTACTCTGTGTGAGTTGGACAGAGTATGGGTTGCCAGGATTGCAAAGGCTGTGGCCTCTGGCCTGAGATGTGAGCATATGCTTTAAGCAGGTTTTGAGTTACTGAAAGCTGGGGCACAGGATGTGCTAGGGTCTCTAATCTGAGGAGTAAATAGATGTACCACACTAGTCCTAAGAGGGCTGAGAGGAGGGTGGCAAAGGGTGGTGAGGTATGACTTCTGACCTGGGGAGCAGGCAGATTTCTGCACTGCTGATGAGAAGGTTAGAGTTTTGGAGGGGGCACAGGTGTGGTCTCTAATCTGTGCAGTTAGTTCTGTTCAGATAATGAGATATCGGCGTATACCATACCAAAGACCTCTCACTTGGGGAGCAAGTTCTGCTGGGGTCCCAAGACGCTGTGTGGCCAGCTTCACCCTAAGATGCTTTGGGTTGGGAATGCCAGAGGATAGAAGACGCAGTCTCAGACCTGGGGAGCAGGTGTCTCATGAGTCCTGGGTCTCTGGGTGTTAGGATAGTGGAAGGATGTGACCTGTATCCTGGGGCCGGGGGCACCACTCAGATGTGGGTTCTGAGGCATTTGTGGTTAAGCCGCTGGAGGGAGGGGGATATGGCTCTAATCTCAGTAGAAGAAAGTCTCCTTTAGGTCCTGAGATACAGGGTGGTGAGTTATATGTGGATCCTGAAGGGCTAGAGGTCCTAGTGGTGGGACGAGGAAGATGGAACTTCTGGTCCCATATGCTGGGAGTTGGGATGACTAAGGGCGGGCGAAGTAGCCTCTAACCCGGGAGTGAATTCTGCTCAGATCCTACAACGCTGAGAACAAGCTCCATCCTGTGCTGGCGGGAAGGAGAAATGACCTCTATCTGCAAATCAGTCTCCACTGCGCTCCTGAAGTACTGGGAACGGACTCCACGTCCATCCTATGAGGCCAGGATAAGGATGCCAGAGAAAGGTGGTGTGATCTGGTCTCTAATCTGGCGAGGTAGCGCTAGTGAGGTTCGTGTTACAGGGAGTGAAAAGCCTATTAGGATCATTTACAGAGTCTCCCCCCACAGCCCCCTTCGTATTCAGTTTTGAAAAGATTCTCCTTGTTAACCAAGACATGTGCCATCACACCAGGTTCTTTTTCTCGTTTTGTTTTGTGGTGGGTTCTTTATCTAGTCTGGATATTAATCCACTGTCAGATAAATAGTCTGCAAATATTCTCCCCTCTTCTGAAACGTTTCTTTTCTGCCCTCTGCTCATGGCTTTAAGGAGGAAGAGGAAGAGGAGGAGGAGGACCCAAGTCCTCCTTGGCTTATCATCCAGAAGGTGTCAGCTAGGCTGGGAGCGTCTGAATGGCTGGGGTATAGTTTTGGGGGAGGGAGACCCTGTTTACTCAGGAAACTCCATCCGACTCAGCTGAATTGGGCAACAGGTGACTGCACCTCCTCAAGGTTCATCGGTCTTTGTGTGGTGTCAGCTTGAGACACCTAGGAAGAAGGAACTGTTAGATCTGGACTGAGGGAGGTGACTTGGAAATAAAAGAAAGAGGGGTTTGGGGGTGGAAAGGGGGCTTTGGGGGAGGAAGATTCCTGCGGGTCAGTTCCTCTGCAGTCTCAAAGTGCAGACACAGCAGAGGTAGGTGTGTTGATCTTATCAGAGGGTCCTAGGATTCTAACAGCCCACAGCTGTTATTAGTCAAGTCAGCTTTCCCGTCTGGATTTTATCAGCCAGCCTGGGGCTATCAGGTGATTAAACCTCCAGGAACCACACCAGAAGAATGGCTTGCTTCAGATTGGCCTGTAGGGCATTTTCCTTATTGTTTATTGATGTGGGGGCGGAGCTATGTAAAAAAGGCTTCTGACCATGAACCTGGGAGCAAGACCTTAAGCAGCATTCATCATGGTCTGCTTCGGTTCCTTCCTGGAGCTCCTGCCCTGGCCTGCCTTTGACTACGGGACTATAACCTGTACAATGAAGTAACCCTGCTCCTCCTCTAAACTGCATGGTGACCGTGTGGCGGTGGGAAGAAACTGAGGGAAGGAAAGTCAGTCTGCCTCCTCAGCCTTCCTTATCTCATCCTCTCCTTCTTCTCTTTCTTGGTGAGGTCCAGGGAAAGATGGCTCTGAGAAGGGATCTGGGGAGTCATCCTGTACTCTTTTCCTTACCTTTCCATTTATACACATAAGACACCAGGACACCAGACAATTAACAGTCACCAAAGCCACTGGTGAACTCCTGAAAGTGGAAGAGTTTCTAAGGCCTCAGTATCATAGTGCTGTCCCTCCCAGTGGTCTTTTAAGACTCTTATAGTGGGAATTAGATGGAAACTAGGATGATTTTTTTTTTTTAATTGAGGGTGTCCATTTTTGAGTTTACTATGGGCAGAGCCAGTAAGTGGCCTACATTCCCCTTTGTATGTGCTCTTGGCTAGTTGGAGAAGTCATCCTGCACTACTTATACAGCCATGGGAGTGGCCACTCATCATGGTTATCTTCATCCACTCCCTCTGCCAACTCCGTTACTTGTTTTGTAGACTATTCACTGAGTCACTTCCTCTGTGGTTAGTAAGGACCTGCCCTTTCTTCCTATGGAGAGCTGCTGCCCATCTCAGTGACGGAGATATACTCATTATCTTTGTTTCTCTATGTCTTCTGTTAGTTGACAGAACCCCAGTGGCTCAATAGAACCTCAAAGACCAACACACTTAACATTCACTGTCATATGGTAGATGCCTCACTGATTCAAAGGAAATTCCAAATAGACAAAATTCCAAATAGACAAATGGCATAATAGTCCATATGGCTCAATAAAACACCCAATAGTTCAGAGGAACCCCCAGGCCAAATGGAAGGCAAAGCCCAAGGTAGACTGGTCAGAGAGAATTTACTAAGCATTAGTATTTCTTGAGAGTTGAAACCAGAGCCCAGACATTTATTTCCCTGCTTACAAGACAAGGCGTAGAGCAGCTGATACTGGCTGAGTGGGAAGATTTTAAAAGGAGAAAGTTTCCCACAATGAAATGATTCTTGCATTGTGATCCTGGCTCTATTCTCTGTAGGAGGCATTTCCTTGCTCCAACCACCCACTTCCCATCTGGACAGCTGCTTCCAAATTCCCACACAAAGACTTAGTATTATTTATAAATGCTCAGCCAGTAGTTCAGGCTTGTTACTAGCTAACTCTTACATTTAAATTAACCCACATTTCTATTTATACTGTGCCATGTGTCTCATGGCTTGCTACTTCATTTTCTATATGTCCTGATGCTCGGCAGCTGGCTGGTGTCTCCTCTGACTCTGCCTTTTTCTTCCCAGAGTCCTCTGGTTCTGGCTGCCCCACCTATACTTCCTACCTGGTTACTGGTCTGTCAGCTTTTTATTAACGAAATGAGAGTAATACATATTTACAGTTTGCAGGACGATTATTCCACAGCCACTCTCACTGTCTGTTTGCTTGATATTCAATTAAAAGCCTTCTTTTGGGGGGGGGATATCCTTTTTCTCTTTGTGGAATTCTGGGCTACACCACACCTAAAAGTCTGTCATCTTCCCATCCCCAGCCCCAGAAATAATATTGAATGCTAGTCTTTCCCATGAGTTTTCCCTTTTCCAGCCTATGATCAACTCATGACCCCCTCAGTCCATTCAGTGACTCCATAATCCAATCCAGACAGCTTCTTCTTTACTTATTTATTCCTCCCATAATAGCCTTTTCTTTCCCACATTCTGGTTTAACCACTCTGCCTACTGTGCATACGAATGTAGTGGTTACATCTTTCTTAACAATTCAAATAATCACCTACACTTTTATCCCCATGGGGTGTCAGGTCCAGCACCCAAATGTGAGCCTTGCTCAAAAGGAAGTGTTCCCAGTATGTCCCCGTAAAGAGCCTCATTCCCTATGTGTGTGTGTGTGTGTGTGTGTGTTTCCAGTTCTAGTCCAAGACATACAGATGCAAACCTGGAGATGAGATCTGAAGAAAGCTGGAGCCATGTTGACCTTGTACACCGTGAAGAAGCAGATTCTGTCTCAGAAAGGCCCACCATCAATGTAGATGAGGAAGATGGTGGTTTCCAAATCTGCCGTGTATGTGGGGACAAGGCCAATGGCTATCACTTCAATGTCATGACGTGTGAAGGATGCAAGGGATTTTTCAGGTAAGATCATCTGCCAGCATTGGCACACTGGCTCACACCTAACTTGGGTTTTTCCATTAACTGGTTGGGTTATGTCTCAAGGCCTCATCTTGATCAGATGTCTGGGGTCATTGCATGGGCTAATGGCCCACCCTTAGCCCTTCTAAGTGCTCCAAGACAGACAAGTACACTTCAGAAGAATCCTCATCTTCAAATCTTCCTTCATCTATGACCCAGGAAAGGATCATTTCCATCAAGATCACACTTTGTTCCTCTCTGTATTTTTGAGAAAATAAAAGGACAGTGAAAGGTAGGGGAGACAAAAGGAAAAGGAAAGTATTCAAATCACTCTCATATGGTAGTTGTTAAGGAAAAGATGTCAGAAAATAAATCAAAACTAAGATAATAAATTCTAGAAACAGATTTTTTTAAAGACCAAAAATAAAAACTAAAATAGCCTCATGTAAAAGAGAAAAAAAATTTGACTTCACAGTATGCTTGGTTTGGGCAAAAGGGTCACCATAGTCAGGTGAAGGACAGAAAGACCAGTTGCAGCTCATTAAAGCCACCTTCAGCACAGGGGCCAGATCCGAGGTGGGAAGGAACACAGGAGACAAGATACGAAGAAAGAGCTCCAGTTCACCTTAAGGAAGGGAAAGGGTTTGTGGTTCTCACCTCAAGGCCACACTTGGGACATTCAAACATTCCCAAGACAGACAGATGTTATGTAACTTCCTGGGGAGACATCAACAAACATGTGTTCACTACAGATAGGCTGTCAACAATACACCAAGAAATTATTCTACCCAAGTCTAGCTTGGCGAATCAATGAGTATCTATCATTTATAAGTCCATGGGTGACTCGGGAAAATGAAAAGCACCGTTCAGGCCCCGGGGATGGTATAGATAAGCTTCATTATTGGTATTTCTCTGCACAACTAGTAGGCAACTCAACACCAGTTTCCTCTACTACAGCAATAGGTTTCAGTTTATATAACCTTTGGAACCCTGTGAGTCATACAACTTCTAACTTCGTGAACTTCCCATGTGTTGTAAGCCTGCCTCCTGTATCCAGGTGGGAATGTTTCCATCCAGAGGAAACAATTACACAACACCCAATCCCTTCCTTCCTTCACCTCTTAGATGCTTTTTCTAACTCCTCTTCTGAAAATCCCCTGAGCCTCAGAATGGATGATGTGTGTGTCTGGTTATTTTCTTCCAATGGCAGATAAGCACTGGGCCACCAAGTAATAATGGCAGTTATCAGTAATGTGACTGGTTCTGAATCTCTGAAGTGACTGCCACGCACTGCACAAAGTTTCAACAACTGAGGTTGACAGAAGCGGTGATCGGTAGGCATGAACATGGAGGAAGTAACCTACTTTGCTTCCTATGGCTGAGATAGAACACCATGACCAAAAGCAGTTTGAGGAGGGGAAGGTTTACTTGTCCTAAACACCCAGATCACAGTTCATTATGCAGGGAAGTCAGGGCAGGGACTCACCGCAGGGAAGTGAAGGTGTAAAGTAAGAACTGAAGCAGTATCCATGGAGGAATACTCTTACTGGCTTGCTCCCCCAGCTTACCTTTCTTATACAATCTGGAACCACTTGCCCCAGGGTGGCACTGCCCACCATTGGCTAGGCCCTTCTACATCAGTCATTAGTCAAGAAAATGCTCCACAGGCTTGTCCACAGGCCAATCTGTTATAAGCATTTTCTCAACTGAGGGTCTCTCTTCCCAGATGACTCTAGCTTGTGTTAATTTGACAAAACAAACAAAACAAAAGGAAAACAAAACAAAAGAAAAAACTAACCAGTACAAGAATAAAACTGGCAAAGCATATCACACTTGTTTAACAAAACAATAGTAGTCACCTCCAAGTGGGACTTATACCCTCTCTAGCTGTGAAATTTTCCCCTGGATTATAGTACCAAACATGTATTTCCTCCTATATAACTGGCCATAAATTCAATAGAAAAGTTACTGGTTGTGTCTATAACAGTTGGGTCACTACTGCACAATCAGGCCTATCTCACCTGCCATGCTTATAGTGTAATAGGGGCTTAAGTGACTAGGACCGCCAGCAACAATTCTCCTCCAGCAGCCTGCTTAGCACCTTCCAGCACTGCACAAACCAGCCAGCAAGAAGGATCTCTAGGCTCAGTCCCAGCTTCATTTCTCCATGTGTGTAACTACAGCATGAAGTGTATTTCAATAGAAATTTACCATCTAATGCTACCATGCAACACTGCAATAGTCTATGGTATAGAATAGAATAAACTTAAGGAGGTAACCCACTTTTGGCTCTGAGATTTTCATTCAACAACTATATGGCTTCTGGGAGCCAGTACACACACACACACACACCCTTCTGTTTACACTCTTTAACTGATGTTTTAACAAGTCATTCTTTCAATCAACCCAGCCCCTATGGGGTCATAAGGTAGGTGGAAGTACCATTGAACCTGGTTGCCTTTAACCCAGTTCTTTACACATTACTTATGAAATAAATACCCATGTCAATTCCTTGGGGAAGCCAGCGTATAACACCTAACACCAAGATTTATGAGACACCCTGGAGAGTGGCTTCACTAATTGTTCATCTGTATGGAAGGGCTTGGCGGCCTTGTCTACACAGGTGAGAGCATATTTCATAAGCTCTGTGTAGTTTAGCTGCCAATCCCATATGAGATAGGTTGAATTACATACTTGCATCATCATAGCATCTATCGGGGCTGCAGCTGGAAACAGCCTTACATGTTTGGGCACTATGAGGAATAGCAGAATGTTTCATGAAAATACAGTGGCTTGTTTTCTCAACCTTTGCTAGCTGCCCCCTGGCCAGACTATATATGAATCTAATGAGCCACCTCTATTGGGACCTGGGGACAGATAGCCTATATTTGGGTAAGGCTGTCCTCTTTCTGTCTTCTGAGAGGACTCAGTGGGCTATGGCTGCTAGTGGGAAACTACGAGGGGCTCTGGTTCTTGTTGAATGCTATTATATATTTCCTTCCTGTTTGTCCTTACTGTGGACAAACAAGCAACTTTGAATTCTCCATTTCTCAATGAGTCATCCCTAAAGTCAGGCCTCTGTGTACAGTAAAGATTGTTATAGGCCTAGTCTCAGGAGTTACTATTATCCATGTTGCTGTTAAACTCAGCCTGCTGGCTACTCTTCTCTTCTGTCAGCCACATGGTGTCAGTGTTTATTTGTATTGCAGCAGCCACCCATTCCTACAGAGGTAGGTGCCATCTCTCCCAGCACTTTATTTGGCTTCAGTGTTGGTCTAGTCTGTAGGGGAGGCCTGAAGGCTCAAAAACAAAACAAAACAAAACAAAACAAACGAACAAAAAACAAAACAAAAAACCCCCACTGGTTCCAGTGGAGACGTCATGGCATGGTTGACAGAGCAAATACCATATAAATTGCTGTAAACATACATGCCAACTTTGCAAAGTTTGATTCTGTGCCATCCAAAAGGTCTTCAGTCCAAAACTTGATTCTGTGAGATGTTTTCCCTGTTGCTACCGCAGATCTGGTAGTGGATCCCACTCTTGTGTTTCACATACCGCGTGCAGTTGCTGTTCTAGTGGTGTTAACGAGATTCCAACCCTCTCCACTGTGGGGTTGATGCCAGGATGGAACAGTTTGCTCAGGTGGTGTTTGTCACGCCCTCCTCCAGCCCTCTAAGCTGCTGGTGATGTCTAACACAAAGGGATCCTGAGGTATTCTGCCCTATCTGGCTCAAATGCTTCTTTCTGTCCCAATCTACCCAGCACCTCCCTCTTATCAAGTTATACAAAGGTTGGTCAACATGGATAATATGGAGTACAACCCGGGGAGACCCAAGAACACCTTACCAGGGTTGCAGTGGGGCCCACCACTACTGTTTTATCTTCCATTCCATCTGCCCCCCTTTGGTGAATTGCCATTCAAGTTTTAAAGCCTTCCAGAGAGGAGCATGGCATTTGGCTTTACATCATTTTTCCCCCCTAAAAACTCTGGCTTGACATAAATACTGCCATATTTGCTTTCATGTGACCCAAGGTACCACCATTCATTTTCCCTTTATTTTGTCTGTCCATTAATACTTTAGCAACTTAAGAACCTGATTTGCTGACAATCTAAATTGCTCAGATCCACCAAAGCCTCTCCTACCCCATATAGATCATGTCCTAACCACAGGGCACAGCAAAGCCACTAAAATGCCCCATACCTACACCGAGGTCTTTGTTAAGTAACCTCTTAATTTTTTGTTTGTTTGTTTTTCGAGACAGGGTTTCTCTGCATAGCCTTGGCAGTCCTGGAACTCATGCTTTAGACCAGGCTGGCTTCAAACTCACAGATGTCCTCTTGCCTCTGCCTCCCAAGTACTGGGATTAAAGGCGTGCACCGTCGCCCAGTTCCCCTCTTAACTTCTTAACTCTCAGACTAATACATTCATATCTGGCCTTGCAAACCAGACACAAAACACTGCCTGTCTCATGCTTAATTCTATTAGTAATTGCTGCCATCGCTCTATTGCCTCCTAGTCCCTGATATTCATGAGGACTTCAGCTGGTGGTAACCAGGTGTGTGATGGTGGTTCGAACCAATCCCTCAGGGACTGAGTCCCTCATATGGCTTCAGGTTACACAGCTTTTGCCTCAAAGAGAATTGAGTGGTTGATTGTATTGATTTCTCTCACTCAGATTGTTCCTAGCTACTGGAATGTCCCACAGCTGCACAAGCCAGGGTATTCGAGGCTCTTGTTTCTTGTTTAAGTCTTCCTCAGCTCACACAGATCTGAGACAGTGTTTCCTGATTTTTCAGCAACAGGTTTCCTGTACTGGGCCATTATTAGGGCTTCCTCATGCTGTTGAATCATGGGATTTCTCTCTTCCTCCAAATTAAAGGTTGAACTGAAGAAGGTCTTCTATCATTTCTACCTTACTCTCTGTTTATTATGGTCCAGTTCTTCCATTAGCGTCTTAGTTCAGGATCCCAGGAAGACCTCTTTTCTTTGTCATATGTCTTCCCAGGTGTAAGAAATAGTAAGCCAAACATCCACCCCATCCTCCCTTTGCCCACCCATTGAAGGACAATGTGTAAGGTGCACCTGGGCATTTCCCAGTATACTTCCTCCCTTTGCAATAGAACTATCTGGTCCATCATCATTTTGTGGAGAGTCCCCATACTTGAGTGACAGACCCCATTTACCAAGGGGATGTGTCACCCCATGTCATGTAAAAGAAAATGGCCACCCTGCGGTTCTCCCCAGGATGCTCTACTCTCCGAAGGCTCAGCCTAAGTCATGTGTCTTATCACCCTCTGCAGGGGCCACCTTTGGTTCTGTTGGTCCTTGACTACGTACTGATGGGTCACACAACCTTTCCTGGGGAGACATGAACAAACTTTGTGCCTCAGATAGGGCAGTGTGGATAGATCAAAGAAATGATTGCACCTAAGTCTAGCTTGGTGAATGAGTGAGTTTATTGGAGACACTTATAATTGCATGACCGAGGGGTTGATTACAGGAGCAGGGAAGATTTGGGCAGATGCATCATTAAAAAGTCCCCCTCAGCATGGGAGATAATGCATGAAAACAGGATCAGGGAATTTTCCCTGCACAGTGTTAGCCCCACCAAGGGGTCTCCTTTCCCCCAGCAATTGCTCGCTCCATATATAACTTTGAGAGAGGGGTCTTGGGAGTCTTGGGTTTTGTGAGCTTAGTGAGTCTTTTGAACCCCACTTCTCCCTCTAGGATGGAATGTTCCAGCTTAACTTGGCCAAGTTTTTGTTAGTGATTGGTCTTTTAAATAGAAATGAATGTACAAGCCAAGGCTCATCCACCAAAGACCCAGCTGTTTGTCCCTTACAGGGACAGTCTTTGATGATTCCAAGGGGGTATACAGCAAGTTCTGAGTTATGACCAGGTTGGTGTTCCCAGATCCTCGGCTTTGGGATGATGTGGCCACAGGGAGCTGTTTTCAGGTCACATGGGGTTAACTTTACTCAGGACAGGTCTAAAGACACCATGATCTAGGGAGACATTAACATTGACTACATAGGCTACCTAGGCTACACATCATCAGTGACAGGCCATGTCCAGCCCTAAGTCACAGAACACTTGGATCAACTTAATGGGACAGTAAGGGAATGAGAAATCTGAAGTTTCCTGAGTTGGTGAACCTGCATGTTTCTCTTTGGCTCACACAAGAGCTCCGATTTTAGTCTGGCTCCACTTGGGAAAGCATAGTGCCAGGATACCCAGACAAAACAAAACAAAACAAAACAAAAAAGATGCTCAACCAAGGAGCAAAAAGAAAATTAAAAAAAAAATCTGTCCCAGAAGACACCAGTACATCATGTAGGCTAGAGTTGGCTTCAGCCTACTCCTGAATCAGTCATTAGCAAAGAGCACCAGCTAAATCACTAAGCTGAGCATGTACCACAAACCCAAACACATGAATGCATGTTCTGGTTCTTCAAGCCAGAGAATCTGTTCAATCGCCTTCTACTGGGCTGTCCCAGTAGTGGGAATCCTCCTGTTTAGGTGCCATCCTGGGACACCTAGAGGGAGGTGAGGTATCAGTGGTTGGAACTGGGCTTCTTATCAAGCCAACTTGGACTACAAGTTTGTCACTTACCTGGATGACAGATAATAATTAATCTCCTTCGATGGACCAGAGGTGGGGGTGTGGAAGGAACGGATGAATTTCATGGGGTCGGTTTTGAAAAATCAAGTCTTTAAAAGTATACAAAACAAGTAACCCAGGATCTGATATATAGCATGTTTCTGACAATACCAGTTCCTTTTATCCATTCTTGGAGCATTTGGGGATAGGGTCAAGGACCTATGTCTGCAGCAGAGGCAAATATGAGAGAGTGACACCCATGGACTTACCCCTGATCGGATCTCAAGTCTGCCAGTTACAGTGAGCTCAGTCTCTAGTCCAGGCCTCTCAGCATCCCCCTGCTCTGTTCCCAAGGTTCCTAGCCAGCTTCTCTCATTTCCCACACTGCTGGACAGAACAGAGGCCAGAATCAAGGTACAAGGGTCACCCAGAGTGGAAATGAAGGAAACATTCGTTTCTGGCCGCAGTGGCAGTCCTTGGTGGGAAATCCAGGATGGTTTGTCTGTAAAGGGGAATGGTCCTCCAGAGCCTTCTGACGTCACGTCACCTACTGCCCACCTGCAGCTGCCTCTCTGCACAGGCCCTGGCCCTTCAGCACCCTTCAAGCTAGTGACAAAGAAGCAGCGGCAGAGCCCCAACTCCACCCTGGGCTCTGTTCTTCAGAGCTTCCAACCTCCCCCCTCCAAGCCAATCCAAACCCACTAGAAGGGGAACTGGAGAAGGGAAAGGCCTGTGTGTGCCTAGAAGCTGCTGGGGCTAGGGGGAGTGCGGGTGGGAGTTAAGTGGTACAGGTGGCAGGCTTCCTCTGACTCCATTTTTCCAAGGAGAAATCCAGTTAGAAGCGCATCCCAGCACTCAGGAGGTAGAGGCAGGCAGATCTTAGTGAGTTCCAGGCCAGCCTGGTCTACAAAGTGAGTTCCAGGACTGTTACACGGAGAAACCCTGTCTTGAAAAGACGAACAAACAAAAAAGAAGCCCAACTCCATGGATACCATTAGTAACAAGGTTTGAGGAAGGATGGGAGGTGATTTGGGAAAGGCCTGGAGCCTACAGTTGACTTGTCCTGGAGAGAGGCTCTAGAGCTATCGTCCCCATGAGAAGCATTTCCTGTAGAATCACCTCAGAGGTCTCCTCCTCTTCTGAGTCCCGGCCTTTGGGGTAGAGTGTCAACCTACACGTGTCCTGTGTGCCTCTGGCAGGGGCTGAAGAGACAGGTAGTATGGCCTGAAGCGCCTGGCCCAGGAGCTGCGTGCGCCTCATAGACTGCCTAATGCTTTTTCTTGTCCCACAGAAGGGCCATGAAACGCAATGTCCGGCTGAGGTGCCCCTTCCGCAAGGGGACCTGCGAGATCACCCGGAAGACACGGCGGCAGTGCCAGGCCTGCCGGTTGCGCAAGTGCCTGGAGAGCGGCATGAAGAAGGAGAGTGAGTGGCTGGGGTGGGGGAGGAGGGGCAGGGGGCTCAGGCTTGGTGGACTGGGGCAGGTGCCAGAGAGCTGAGGCACCAGTACGCATCTGCATACCACAGCTCCAGAGCTCATGTGCATCTGTGAGCCTGTGGGACTTTGGAGATTACTGGACACCAGTTCTTTGCTGCAGGATGTGTGGTGGGGGATGCCGGCCAGGGCTGTGTTCTCCCCTTCTTCCCAGCTGTCCCTGCACGGTTCCCTTTGTCCCCACTTAAAACTGTAGTCCCAGTGGTGTATGGAGGCTGGGGGAGGATGACTCTGAAGGGGTACATATGCTGAAACCTGCTTCGTCAACTCACAGTGATCATGTCCGATGCCGCCGTGGAGCAGAGGCGGGCCTTGATTAAGAGGAAGAAGAGGGAAAAGATTGAGGCTCCACTCTCTGTAGGGCAGGGGCTGACTGAAGAACAGCAGGCGCTGATCCAGGAGCTGATGGATGCTCAGACGAAGACCTTTGACACCACTTTCTCCCACTTCAAGGATTTCCGGGTAGGTGCTCAGAGCTTGGACCAGGTCCATGGCTATGCCAGCTCCTCAAAGCAGGTCACTTTCCCAGGGTCTCTCATGCCCTGGTCTGCACCAGGATTCCCCGAGAACTTGCCAGAAATGGGGTCATCTCAAAATCCTTCCCCTGGCCCCAAACTCTGGGATGGGAAACCCTTTGGTTACTCCCCAGCCGACTGAGAGAATCTCTACTCTGACCACAGCAGATAGGAACTGGATGAAAATCAGTGGAGGCAGGCATGGTGCCTGCTGTGCAGTTTTGTGAGGACAGTCAGGACCGGAAGGGGTATGGCTCTGCTGAATGGGTGTTGGCTAGCTCTGTCTTCCTTCCCAGTGACACCCCTCTCTTCTCCAGAATGGTCACAAGTAGTTCAGGTGACTGGACCAGCAAAGAGGAATGGTCTGGCTCCCCCAATCTCAGTATCTGTGTTTCCATCTACAGCAGTGGTTCTCAGCCTTCCTAATGCTGCGGCCCTTTGATACAGTTCATGTTGTGATGACCCACAGTAAAACTATTTCTTTACAACTTCATAACTTGTAATTTTGTTAGTTATGAATCGTAATGTAAATATCTGATACACTACCTCCAGGTTGAGAAGCCCTGATTGGCATCGCCAAACCCTTATCTCTGTCTCCTGGACCCAACAGGGGGATGCTTAGGCAAGAAGGCCTCCCTTACCCTTCACCCTGACCATGTAGGGATGTGACCACTAATTCATAGAACACCACCTGCCAGACAACCTAAGAAACAAGGGCTGTGTGTATGCGCACATGTGTGTGTATATACACAAACAAACATACGTACATATTATGTATATGTGAGTGCACATAGGTGTACATGCCTATGATCATTTTTCCCAGACTATAGCTTGGTCATCAGGGTTCTTGTCTATGACAACACTGCCCCTCCTCTCTTTGCCTCCTGCCCCTTTATCCCAGCTGCCTGCAGTGCGTAACAGTGGCTGTGAGCTCCCAGAGTTTCTGCAGGCCTCACTGCTGGAAGACCCTGCCGCATGGAGTCAAATCATGAAAGATACGGTTCCAATGAGGATCTCTCTGAAGCTTCGGGGAGAAGACGGCAGCATCTGGAACTACCAACCCCCATCCACGAGCGATGGGAAAGAGATCATTCCTCTGCTGCCACATCTGGCCGATGTGTCAACTTACATGTTCAAGGGTGTCATCAACTTTGCCAAAGTCATCTCCTACTTCAGGTAGGTCTTGAGGGGGAAACATAAATGGTCAAGCATTTCAAAGAAATCTGCAGTAGATCCCTACAAACTTGGGAGAAACTGGTGTCAAAAGACTGTGTGTTGTCTCTGCCCCGGGGGACCACTGCTACTGGAGAATAAAGCCTATATGGTTCATTAGCTTTGTTGCTGTGGGCTTGTTAGCTTTCCCGTTTTGGAATGGGAAGTGATGATATCAACCTTATAGGGTGTCTTAGTTAGGCTTTCTATTGCTGGGAAGAGACAGCATGACCACGGCAACTCTTATAAAGGAAAACATTTAATTGGGTGGCTTACAGTTCAGAGGTTCAGTCCATTATCATCATGGTGTGACATGCGTCCTGTGACATAGGCAAACATGGTGCTGGAGAGGTAGTTGGGAGTTCTACCTCTTGCCCAGGCAACTCGAAGTGAACTGAGACACTAAGTGGTATCTTGAACATAGGAGACGTCAAAGCCCCATCCCACAGTGACACACTTCCTCCAGTAAGGCCACACATACTCCAACAAAGCCACACCTGCCAATAGTGCCACTCCCTACGAGCTTATGCGTGGGGGGGGGCAATTACATTACATTCAAACTACCACATAGAGCTGATGAAATGAGAAAACATCTGGAGAACATTGGCAAATGACAGTCATCAGACCTTCCTATTTTGTCCATAAGGACAGAAGCCATGTTGAACATTTTCAGACTAAAAGTTGAGTTGAAAGGAAAAAGAAGAAAGTCCATAGAAAAAGAGAGACGTGGAATTTCCAGCTGTCTGCCATCAAGCAGGCCATGGGAGGGTGGCTGGTCCTGTAATCCAACAGACCATATCTCCCTAGAGCTAGGCAGGGAGGTGGTTATCATGACAAATGGTGTCAGCAAGAGAACCTGGAACCTGATGGTGTGGTGGGAACCACCACTCCATAAAATGTAGTCTGTGGTGGTAGGGGTGATGCCAGGGGTATTTACACCCATGTCCTCCACCTTGCCTTGCCTGATGTGGTCAAGTGAGGCTGAATTACACATGTAAGGAGCACATTGCCCGGCAGAAAGCAGATAACAGAAGTGCAACACAAGGTCTTCATTTCTGGGGAGAAACAGTTAGGAACATGGATGTACTGAATTCAGCATCAGGTGGCAGCTATTTCCAGTGCAAAGTGTGACATGTAGAAACACTTCTGGGAAGGGAAGACACTCCTTGACCTGAAAGCTCACCAGGATTTACTTAAAAGGGGCAATAATTCCACGTAGGCAAACTGAGGTAAATGCTTGTGAGGTTAACAAGGCATTAAATGTTGGTCAGAGGCTGTGTAGGTTGTTGGAAGAGACAGGCCTGGACATAAAGCTAAGGAAGTATGGAGAGTCCCTGGAGGTGGAGAGAAGACCTCAGTGGGCAAAGTAACCCAGTGGCCTGGATTATGAGGGAGGGAGATTGGAGGCAACCTGGAAGGAGCTGCACCCTCAGGAGGAGGCTGTTCCATCTCTCTCTCCTCTTTCTCTTCCAACTTTTGGATTATGAGATGGGGACTGGTGCCAGCCTGTGGACAGCCTCCCTAGGAGCTGTCATCACTTCCTGTCCTTGCTGCCAGGGACCTGCCTATTGAGGACCAGATTTCCCTGCTGAAGGGAGCCACTTTTGAGATGTGCCTACTGAGGTTCAACACGATGTTCGACACAGAAACTGGAACCTGGGAGTGCGGTCGGCTGGCCTACTGCTTTGAAGATCCTGATGGTGCCTACGAGATGCCTGGCGGAGGGAGGGAGGGAGGGAGAGAACAGCTGAGGGAGACTGGGTTCAGGAGAGAAGGTAAGGGAAGCCTGAGTTCTTGAGTTAGGCTCCTGAGGTGCTGGCTGTCTACCCTATACCCACCCACAGGTGGCTTCCAGAAACTTCTGCTGGACCCGCTGATGAAATTCCACAGCATGCTGAAGAGCCTGCACCTGCATAAGGAGGAGTACGTGCTGATGCAAGCCATCTCCCTCTTCTCCCCAGGTGAGAATCTGCAGGAGGCCACTGCCCTTTTTCCTGTCCTCCCCAGGGAAGGGCTCAGCCATCATTAGCCTTGCTTCCCACTGCACAGGGGTTGCTGCTTTCCTTTGAGGTGGTTGGTCAGCAATTCCTTTATCATGGCTGACCTGAGCTTTCCTTTGCTCCTCTCTGCCCTGCCTGTCATCACAATGCCTTCTCTTCTCCTCTCAGACCGTCCTGGTGTGGTACAGCGCAGTGTGGTGGACCAGCTGCAGGAACGATTTGCCCTCACCCTGAAGGCCTACATCGAGTGCTGTCGGCCATATCCTGCTCACAGGTGAGGATGAGCGGGGAGGAGCAGATGTGAGAGGGAGCCTTCTTGCCCCCTCACTTTGGGCCTGATTTCCAAGTCCCTGCCATACCCGGGACAGCTTCTGATGACCAAGGCTCCGGGACTGTTTTGTGACCTCTATGAAGACTTCCAGCCTGAGTCTAGCAGAGGGATACTTGTCTGCCCAGGGCTTTCTACATTTCTGTCAATGAGGTGTGGGAAGAGCCTGACTCTACTGTCTCTCCAATGGGGTCTTCTAGCAAAGACCAGTATACAACCGTGATGATGGTAGTACTATAGTGATACCATTCATAATGGCAGTGCATCTGTAATACCTACTACTGATTGGGAAGTTTTAGTTTTGGGGCCAAGAAGGTGATGAATATTATAGCCTGTAATATTCAAAGCAATGCCTGAGGTGGGTACCAACACCATGCCATAAGGGAGTCAAGACAAATGCCCTGGTTCCCACAGGCTGGAGGGCTGGAGCCTGGCAGTTAGAGGATTGTCACAGCTGAAACTTGTCAAGGAAACCTGCTTGGGGACTGGCATAGAAAGAGCTCCCACGCCTTGGCCAGTCCTTGTCCCAGTGCCCAGTCTCATGTCCACAGGATTACAATGAGCCTAAGGCTTTGAAGATTAAGGCCAGTTTTGGATATTATAATGTGGACTCAAAGATCCAATCTTCACTTGGCCTGCACCAGCTTTCTTTTCTGTTCAGCCTCCTGGGATGCTGGGGTGGTGGTGGTGGTGGTGGTGGTGGTGGTGGTGGTGGTGATTATCTTTTTGTTCAGTTACTTTCTGCAAGGAGGGTGGAGGTGCTAGCTTCCTTCCCTGTCATGGGGAAACCAAGGTAAGTGTGTGTTCTGATGTTGGATGCAGGAAGAGGTCTAGGAAAGGACTCCAGACTGCAGGTCCTAGTTGTAGTGACTACATGTCAAGACATTAACCAAGATGATGACTCTCACCTCCATGTTAACCCATGAATTTGGCACCTGCAAGGCCTAAGCTTTCTATAGGGTCTCTGTGTACAGGACTCAGCTGGTGGGGGTTGGGAGGCAGGAGGCAGATGACAGTTTCTACCTTCTCACGCAGAGGCTGAAGGAATTCCAAATCTCCTAGCTTGGCTGATCACGGATTTTTCTGAGATTGAATTTGTGTGCTCTCTGAACGGGATCAGTCTGGTAGGATGGAAAGGGGTGGGGTGAAACCCCAACTTCTTCTCTGGCTGCCTGCAGGTTCCTGTTCATGAAGATTATGGCTGTTCTCACTGAGCTGCGCAGTATCAACGCCCAGCAGACTCAGCACCTGCTGCGCATCCAAGACACACATCCCTTCGTCACCCCCCTCATGCAGGAGTTATTCAGCAGCACGGATAGCTGAGTGGCTGCCCCTGGGTGGAGATCTCATGGGTTGGCCAGACCCAGACATTCTGAATCACCACTTCTAGGGCTAGACTGACAGAAGAACAGACTGATAGCGAACAATGGCCCAGGACTGCAGTTGGCTAACATTCCCCTGGAAAAGGACATGGAGCCCCAAGTTCAGCCTGTGGGAAGTGCTGGCCTATCGATTAGCCCCATCCTTGTGCTTGGGAATAAAACCCCAAATCCCACTAAATTCTAAGATGTTGGGTGGGAAAGGAGGAACCAGGTCAAGCTATGTAAAGGTGTCCATACCCCACACATTCCCAACCCCAGGCTTCCCCTTGGGCCACTTGTACCTTCCAGACTTGAGCTCACCATCAGGTTCATTAGCATCACAGAAGCTTGTTCTGGCCACATCACTCAGGTTCCTGCATCTGACCAGACAAGACACACTGTTAATCGCTAACATTGTGACCTTCTGTGGGGATACAGCATGAACTCAGATATGGATCCCAGCCTCAGAGTTCAAGAAGATAAAGCTAAAATGGCTATTAATAGCTTGTAAAAAAAACTTCTTGAAAAAAAAAAAAACTTCTTGTAACAGCTTACGTGGCCCTTAAGGAAGGCCACGTGACAAAATCAAGGAGCTCTGTGTGGGTTCTAAGCTGCACTGGGGTTCTATGGGTAACTAGAAGCCAAATGAAGGTTCCCAAATGCCAGGTACCTGTTGAGGAAGGGGTAGGAACTGTGACTGTGGGGATGGGTATGTGACTTGGTGTGGGGATGTCTGCTCCCCATCTGACTGGGGTCTGGCTTGCTCCCCAAACTGGAGCACTGGGGTGATCTGTAACAAGGCTACAGTGACAGACAATAAATGTGTGCTAGCAGAATTACCTGTGTACACTGAACTCCTGAGTACACTTGGATCCTCAAAGCTGAGTGAATAGAAGTACCTGCCTCATTTGAAATAGTTTCTACAATTGTCTGCCTTTCCCAAGTTATACCTCACTCCCACACTAGGTGCTCCATGCTTAAGAACTAAGCAAGTGTGTTCCTGGGTTTAACGTTGGATCAAGATTAGGGGATTTCAATAATGAAATTCTGGGTAGATATAGAGCATATTTTTTAAAGGATTTGTGTGTGTGTGTGTGTGTGTGTGTGTGTGTGTGTGTGTGTGTGTATGCGCATGGGTGGGTGCCTGAGGAGGCCAGAAGAGGGCATTGTATCCCCTGGAGCTGGAGTTACAGGTTGTTGTGAGCCTCCCCACACAGGTGCTCATAACCGAACTCTGGTCCTCTGGAAAAGCAAGTGCTCTTAAACCACTGAGCCATCTCTCTCCAGTCCCTATTTTTTGACTTTTTTTTTTCTGGGGGAAGAAAAAAAATGTGAGAATGAGAAAATAGAAATAAAAAAACAGAGCCGGGTGAGGCTGAGGTTAAGAACACAGAACAGTCTGGGCAAACAGTGAGACCGTGTCTCAAAGAACAAAACAAAACATAGCTTCTCCATCCCCCAAACCAAACCAAACATACACATTTGTACTCATCTCAGTGTTACCCTGTATAAACCCGACAACCTGCTGGTAGAACATAAAAATGAAATCACCTAATTAGCTTTTGTGCTTGATTATTACATATAAAAAACATACATGATATAAAATATAGTAAACAAAGTTTGAAATGTGTGATAATATTCCATTGCAAAGGAAGCTGAAGGTAACTGAATTTTAACGGACAGGTAATTATGTAAGTCTAGCCATCTTACAAGCAGGCCAAACCACAATAGCATCAGATCAACACAAGTCAAAACAAGCAAGCATATTCCCTACCCTGACCCCCCAATTTCTACACAAAGCATTCGCGTTTGAAAGAGAAAATTGAGCCCTTCTCAGCAAATTCATGAATATTGCTTTCACTCCATGAAATCTGGAATAATTAAAGACTTGGTTATAACTAGAAATATATTTCTCATTTGGAAGTCTAAATTCCATTCAACTATGTTCGTAAGTCATACATGCATTTCTCCTCTTCTGGGAAGTTGCCTGTGTGCTACTCATTCGAAAGCCTGATAGTGGTAAGGTAACACAGAACACCCCCCCTCTCCCCACACACACCTCAGCTGATTTTAAAACACCCAGGCAGTGCTCCAAACACTAAACTGGTAAGGTCATAGGAATTCCGGACAGTAAGCACTTATTCCAAGGGTGTCTAAGATTCAAGGTGGGCAGCACAAAAGAGTACACACAGGATATACATCCTCTTAGCAACCATGACTAGGTTTTAAGACTCGGAGATCCAACTTTCCTGCTCTTCGACATCCGGTTTCTCTTTCACCACTCCCCGTCCCCTGGAACTTTGGAATAAGTAGAAGCAAGCGCTGGTTTCTTGGCATCTTGGTTTCGATGGCCCTTTTTCTGGTTTCCCACTCAAGAGGAGATGGTCCATTTCCAAAGTGCAGGAGAAAGGGTCTGTGAGCCACTGTCCACCTCTGCTCTGCCATCACTCAAGAGTCGCTCAGCAGCCACTGTTCACGTGTCTAAAGTCTTGACATGAATAGCAGGAGTAGCAGATCTTCATGTGGGATGCCCAGGTGTGTCCCTTGCTTTCTGGGGAAAAAAAAAAAAAAAGAGAGACTTATAAACAAACCACCCCACCCCCACCCATCATTGACCAGTAACCCCAGCTCCAGATAGCTTGCCAGCCTCCAAAGCAGTTGTTTCTCCCAGGTTGCTTCCCTTTCCATAGTAAGAGCTCTCCAACACCTCAAGGTGCTCAGAGACTACTCCAGCTGCGTTCAAACTGTGCCATGCCTGCTGCTCTCCTGCAAGCACAACTTTTGGGAGGACTCAGAAATAAAGATTATCTTTCAGGATTGTGAGGGAGAGCTGGCAGGTCATTTAGTCCCAACTCAAATGGTCAAGGTAGGACCTCAACAGGGTGATGAATCCCAAGCCACCCCACTGCAGTGCTGGAATTATAGGCAGGTGGCACCATACCGAGCTCCCTCTAAGAATGTTTATATAACTAGCCCACTAAATAAAAGACCACACTTAATCGAATATAAATTTGTCTTTATTGAAGCAGCAGTCACATGACCTTATATCTAATCTTTAGGCCTGACCATGAGCCAGCCCTAAAAAAATGATGTTCTGTTTGCACTAAGAGACATAACATGTTAACATACATTATCCAGTATTGGAAATGAGCAGACTCAAACACATGTTGGTTATACGGGTGACACAGACCCACTGTCCATGGTGTTCATGTTTTACAGAGACTCCCAAAGACCATTACTAATAAGATGAAAGTTAAAAGAAAATACAGTCACACCAAACCATGGACACAGTAACCAAAGACAGCAGCTTATACATGTTTTTACAACTGTCCCTTTCAGGGTTATTTTCTTTCTTTCCAAAGCAGTGTCTGCAAAACTTCCTCTATTTTAAGTCCAGGGGTTTCCAAGCCGGAAGCTGCACCTCCTGTCTACACATCAGAGAAAGGTCATTTCAAAGAATGAGCCGTGTGTTCGTGTCTTGACTTTTATAACAAGGATACATGTTTCCCCAGTTAGAGGAGAGGAGAGGGTGACGGGACTACATGTTGCAATGGCAAAGTAGGCAGGGTGAAGAAAGTGGGCTGGGCACTGAAATAAAGACCACACACTTGTGAATTTTAATTTCATTTCCAGGCTAACCTACTTTTTATTTAATGCAAATTACAGTACCAGTTAACTATTTCCAAACCAAGTCACATAGAACGAAATGTATTTACAAGGGAATGGGGGAAGGGGAAAAAAAACATTGAGCATACTTTCCACAAAAAGTTTATATTTAAAATAAAAAAAAAAACAAAAAAACAAAAAAACTCAGTCACAGAGGCATTCAAGTAGTAATGTTATACAGCGTTTGCTTTTCCTTTATATCAAGACAGATTTGCACAAGTGTTTGCAATAGTTGTATACAACCCACAGTCCTTTATATATATATATATATATATATAATAAATTTTGTTTAGATTTGTTTTTTAAGATGGAAGTGGTCACGCTAATTGGTATGTGTACAGGCCCAAGTGATCCATCGGCAACACATTTATAAATGCAAATTTTACAGGCAAGCACATTTCCATACATCTATCTGTATCTGCCTGTAGACAGATATAGTAAGAAAAAAAAATTAAAAGTTAACACAAGGTAGTCTACTTTGTCAAGCTAACCCCTTATGTACTGGCTGTCATTTTGTTTGTATTGTGGAGATATACAATGGAACAACAAACTTGAATAAAATGGCATAACCCAGTGAAAAGGATCCAGACCCCAGGGATCACTTCCAAAGCCTCTCCAAGGAGACATCAGTCTGGGACTCTCCTGTGCTTCTAGCTGTGTCTTTATTTTCAGTGGCTTCAGTTTCTACCAGAAAAGGCAGGCTTCACCATAAGGGATGCTGATTTTTGCATACAGGGTGAAACATGTTCATCTCTGTGATTAGAACAATCAGTAGTGTGAGTAGGAGCCAGACAAATTTCCATTTAAAACAAAGAAACAGCCGGGCAGTGGTGGCACACGCCTTTAATCCCAGCACTCGGGAGGCAGAGGCAGGCGGATCTCTGTGAGTTCGAGGCCAGCCTGGTCTACAAGAGCTAGTTCTAGGACAGCCTCCAAAGCCACAGAGAAACCCTGTCTTGAAAAACCAAAAAAAAAAAAAAAAAACAAAAACAAAAACAAAAAAACCAACCAAACCAAACTAAGAAACAAAAACAAAAAACCCAACTTCTGGGAGATCTGGCATTGGCCAAACTTTCTTTGGAAAATTCCAAAGTTAAAACCCTTGCAAAGGGAAGAGAGATGTAACAGAAATGCCAGTGTCTTTACATCCACAGGGACAGAGAAAACAGTCCTCTCAGGACCTCTGCATTGGCGTGGACAGGATGACCGGGTACATATACTTTGCTAAAACACAAACCTAATAAATGGGTCTAAAAAATTAAGGACTCAAAAAAAAAAAAAAAAACCAAAACAAAAACAAAGACAGTACATTATGGGAAAGAAGGTGCAGTCTTCTGCCATGTGCAATAAACACATGATGTCTCAAAAGTAGCAACCTTTGGTTTGGTAGTGGTTTTGTTTTTCTTTTCCTTCTTGTATTCAAGACATACAAAGTAGTTGGTGGCAAAATGAATACATTTTTTTTTTTTCCCAAAAGGCCATATCAGGCACAGTTAGGAAACTTTTTGAAAAAAGAAATTAAAATGATTTTTCATCCGAGAAGATGGCAGGAGGGAGGAACAGGCTGAGTCCATTTGACAGTCCTCATCTGCAGAGCACCCAGTGCAGTAACTAGTAACAATGTATCCAGGGCACCCAGATTACTGACCTACCAAAACCCACATGCCACCTAGACAGCATGACTTGTTGTTCTTGTTTGTTTTAAAATAAAATAAAACCAATGTCTCTTGGGAGGAAAGTAGGTAAGGAGAGAGTGAGCATGGGAGGTTCCCAGAATCTACTGCAAGGCCCACGTTAGGGCTTGCAGAAAATATGAGCAAACCCCAATCTATCAGACATCCTCCAGCTCTAGGACTCCTGCACTCCACCAAGTCCCTGCATGGACTGAATGTGCAATGAAACGCTCGTTGTTACTGAGAAGGAGCAGACACACCCATAACCAAAACAAAGGCAAGGCTACAATGAAATGAGATTTCAAACATTGTTTCCTCTCCCCACTCAAACTGTGGAGGGGGCAAAGGTGATGTTACATTGTAACTTCAGAGGGAAAGGGGACAGACAGGGACACATGGATAAAAGAGATCAATTAAAAAGCAAAACAAAACAAAAAAAACCCCAAATACATGGAAGCGAAGGCACTCCAAACTATATAGATACACTATACATTGCTAGAGTTATTGTTACAATAATACAGGCCGGTACCTACTGTACAGAGTTAAAACTATATGGCTTTAAAAAGCTCGTCTACATTTTTGTCTGGTTATTAAACAGAATCACTGCCCTGAACAGTAACTTTTTGCTCATTAATAACAGTTCCTGGGTCCACATATTTACATACAAAACAATAAAACTTAAATTTAAAAACATTGAAAGAAAATATAATATACAAGCTTGAATTTGGTGAGGAGCTTTTAATTATTATTTACAAAAAGATATTCAGAAACCTGGATCTCACTTGTGTAAGAGTTCTGTGATCCTGCCATGATCCTTGAGAAAGAAAAATCATGCACCTCAGCCCTCACATACGCACACACGTGCACACACGTGCACACACGTGTGCGCGCGCACACACACACACACACACACACACACACACGTTCGAGAAAAGCACCTGACTTTCCTCTACTCTTCTCTTCCCCCATCTGGGGGGTGGGGGGCATTTGCTAAAACAAGCATTGATTTTTATGGACTCTAGCAAGTACATCAAGTCCAGAGTAGTGTCTGTTTCTGGCTGGGCAGTTTAATCTGAAAGCAGGTTCCCCTCTTAGGCCATAGACCCGCTTGTTCAGATTCTCTACAAATTCTTCCTGAAAATGGTCTTCCAAGTCACCTCTTCAAGGAACTATGCTGTCCAATACTTTGATTTCAGAATTCTTTCAAACTGTAATTATCTCTCGGAAGCACTTCACAGAAAGTAAAAGCCTATTTGTTTGATTTGGTTAGACTAAGCATGCTTTCTTTCTTGTGAACTTTGATATAAGCAGGAGTTTGAGAAACCCCTTTGGTGGCCCAAAGCACTTAGCCGCACAGTGAGTAAAAGTCAGATGGCTCACCGCTGTCTTTCTAGTATCGCTTCATTTCTGCAGGCAGCACAACTCTCTTGGAGAGTTACACGCAGGGTCGAAGAGGCGTGACAGGGTGCTAGGGCCTGTATAAGGGCTGCCAAGAGACCCCTCTCTCCAACCACCTGAAGGGCAAGACCCCAACATGAATAAAGGTGGTAATGATGGTGAAGGAGGCTACACACAACTGAGAGCTCTGCAGTCCTTGTCATCGACTGACCTTAGCAGATACGTGGGAAGGAGGGAGGAGGAAGGAAAGGTGGCCATCACTCAAGAGATCTTTAAATGTAAAAGGTAACTGATTGTGCCTTAAAGATTCATAGGTCAAGTAATGGCCCGTAAGCACCAAGGTTCATTTTAGAGTATATAAGGCCCACAAAGATACCAACCTTAAAAGGATCAACAAACTAGTTATGAATTCTGTTCCTCACTCAAACATAATCCTTCAATCCTCCTTGCTCTCCAAGGAATATTGCTTTTTCTTCAAAAAACAAGAGACTGATTCTTACACCATTCATTGATAAACAAAGAAAACTAAAACAAAACTCTTAATGGTTGGGGGAACATTCTTTTCATGATTCAGTCAGTCAATTTTGAGACTGTAGACAAAAAGAAAAGGCAGTACTGAATATATGTATATATGACATATATACACACATTTATATAATCAGTTTTCCTATAAAGTTAGCAGGTACAGATGACTTTATCATTTTGATGTGTGGTTTTTAATATGCCTACCATTTAAAATCGTAATGGTCTATCTGACATGCATCAATAAATAAATTTAAAAAGCATGATGTTAAAAAAGCAGAAATTAAATACAGAGTCTAGATTTGGATTTAAAATTAGAATTATGTGTAAGAATGTGGCAATTCTTGCAAGCTTGATTTTCAATTAAAATATGAAAAATAAAGCAGTAGACTGTTACAGTTCACATTATTTAGCTACAATGTCTTCTCTCAAGTGTATTTTTCTAAGGGAAATAACTTTAGAAAAATCTGGACAAATTCATTCACAGTGGTGAGATCTGCCCCTGGCCTGCTGCCTTCCTGCCTTCTGATGCACCTTGAGCTGCTGGCTTGACATCATCTCCAGTCTTATCTCAGGGCACCAGCTCAAAACAATATGAAGATATGCAGACAGCCTTTGGTCAGGTGAACCGAGATCCACCCAGGGCAACAGACGGCCGCTCCCCTGGCAGCCTTCCTAAGCCAGTATCTGCAACATTTGCACTGGTCAAGAGCAAAACAAACCTTTAAATAATCAATCACAAATCTTCCCTTATAGCTTCAGACTTTAGTGACCTCCCTGGGCTACGAACAATACACATTTCTTCTCTCTCTCTCTCTCTTTTTTTTTTTTTTTGGTCTGTCACACCTGCCATCAACATGTCAAAGGCAAGTCTTCAAATACCCGAGGATACATATACATTTTACAAGTGACATTAAGTCCCTGTTGAGTACACCTGCTAAGCTCCCAACCAATTTCAAGCTGTGCACTGTATCAAAGTCTTACACCAGACTTTAAAAGAAAACAAATTCAGAAAATAAACCAGCACAGAACATGTTGTCTTCTGTTGTGGTGGGGCCACGAGGCAGGAATCTGGTTTTTAAGGTATACAATAGCAGACGTCTGATTAAAAAAAAAAGAAAAGAAAAAGAAAAAGAAAAAGAAAGATTGTCGTGGGAGAGATTGTGTGTTCTAGTGCTCTGTTCCCCCCCCATCCCTCCCACCCCTTGGATCTCCTGAAAAGTGAGATTACAATGAAATTGGCTTGTATTTATAGATATTTTACAAGGTTAAATAAGAACAACAATAATAAAAAAAATGAACACTAAAATGAACAGGGTTTTTTTTGTTTTTGTTTTTTTTTTCCTCTTTAATTTTCTTTCCAAACGTGACCAGTGTTGCTGAGTGACACTCAAGTAACTGCTGGTTTTTCCTGTGCAGCTGGTTACTTGGGGCTGTTCAGGTGGAGTTGGAAGCTGATGCAGAAGCGGCATTATTGGTCTGTCCACGGTCTCCAGAATTAGTATCTGCAAATCCAAAGTCCCGAGAGAGCATGAGCAATGTTATGACACGAAAGAGCACAAGTACACCGCTTCACTTGCACAGTGCTGTGGCCTTCCAAAGGGTCATGTGCTATGCTGGCTCAAGCAGACAGCACCATGACTTCCTTTCTGTTTGGAGCTAAGTGATGGTTCTTGTGTGGGGAAGACTGAGGGAACCAGAAGTCATTTCTGTAAAGGCTTCTGCTATAGCTAAGACCGGCAGTACCCAGATTGGAGTCTAGTTCCCCAAACTAGAAGAAGTCATACAGCTGGGGAACTAGCTAAAGACTGTGAGCCACAACAGGCATCTGCTCAAGTTGTGAATAAGGGAAGACACAGCAGACCCCAAGAACACACAAGAACCTTACTACTTAAGGGCATGCTTTTCAGTCTACCAACTCCATAACCACTCTATGAAGACTGTATTTCCAAACTCTTCCTTTTTCTGTTCCCCAAATAATCTGCCTTATATACATTTAACCCACTGAGGGTCAGTCAACATGTGAACACTTTTGCTCAGTTCATTCATTTTTACCTCAAACACTCAACTTCTTTCAGTTCTACTTTCATATAAATAAGGTGATCTCAGAGTTACACCACTAGAGCATGAGGACATCTTACTTCACTGGTGGATGTATGTCACATGAACCAGAACATACTCTTCAGAGCCAAGCAGAGAGCCTTTCCCAGCAATCAGCGAATAGCTAGAGCCAAGGCTTCCTTCATGACTTCCTTAGACATGCCCTGCTAAAAGGGAGTTTTATTCTACAGTCACCTGAATTTGCTGTGCTAATAACACAACAAGAATTCCTGTCCAGATGACAGATTCCCAGGCCTTTCTTCATGGTGACGATGCAGACACAGGCTGTATTAAAAACATTTCACAAGCAGCCTGGAAGACCAGAGTTACTCCAGAGTTGTAACATTCCTCACAAAACCATCCTTCTTGCAGCTTTTCCTGGCTCTACACAACTGTCAGCAAACACATAATCATCACCAAACAACATGCAAGTCCCGCATTTTCAGAAGATGGCAGGAGGAACCCAGGCCTTGAAAGGTACCTACTATACCCACATACAAACTATCACTGTACCAGCCCTGGCTATGGTGGCTGCTAGCTGTGCCAGCGGACACCAGCACTAAATACTCCACCCACACAAGCAACCTGAACATTATGGTAATTTACTCATTGGCAAAGTCCTAGATAGCTACTAGTTTTTAGATGCCCTTTCACGAGCTATAGTCCATTAGTGTATGATGTAGTCCAAACTAGTATCCCTTTCCTTGTGTAAAATCAAAGTCTGTTTACATGATCACCATGAAATGCATAAACCTTTTTACATGATCATGTAACTGGAAATGAGTTTACTGTCTGAATAATAAAATTTGTAAACTCATTTCCAGTTACATGATCAGAAAACAATCTGCTCTGGGAAGAGGAAGGAAGGCACAAGACCATCCCAATATACTGTAGCATCTTCCAAAACGACATCATTGACTCATGCCTCTTGGAACCTATGCTCCTCATGTAGTCCATTCCCATGCCAAACAGGACTGACCCACATAATCAACCAGATACTGCAAATATAAGGGTACATGGTTTCTAAGGCTAGGATATAAACACATATGGTTTCCACCTTATTCTCTCTACTGGATCACTTGGTGTAAGGAAAGCCAGCGTATAGGATGGAAAACACTCCAACAACAGCACCATGATGAGGTCCATAAAAAGGGTGGTTAGACCTCCTGTCAAAACATGTCGTTAACCACACAAATGATCCAGCCTGGAAGTAGATTTTATAACCCCAAGAAGGCATCAGAAAATTGCACCACTAGACAACACCCCCCTTTATTAAAAATAGATTTTTCTGTCATATAATATATCCTGATTATGGTTATCCCTCCCTTTACTAATCCCAGTTGCTCCCCATGTCCCCTCCCATCTGAATTCACTCACTTGCTTTCTTATCAGAAAACAAACAGGCTTCTAAGGGATAATAAAATAACAATAAAAATAAAGTATAATAAAAGTATACAAAAATGAACACATCAGAACAGGGCAAAGCACACAAGAAGGAAGAGAGTTCAAGAAAAGGCATGAAAATCAGATACAGACAAGGAGACCCACTCATTCGTACACTCAGGAATCCCATAGAAACACTGAACTGGAAGTTATAATACATACGCCCTGCCTAACCACACCATTCAGATCTTTGCCTATCGAGGTGGCTTGTATTCCTAACCCACAGAAGCAATTCCAGATAATGTTTATTTACCCTGTCATTTACCCTATTGCTAAAATTTGGGATGGTACTCAGAGCACTGAATACATTAAGATGTCGAAGAAATTAAAATGCCACCAAGGGTTGTACTTGGAGGCCTAGGAAACCACCATTGGACCGCTCTGCTATGATTTATAAGTGTTTCTAACAAGCTGTATAGGACTGTCTTAGCTAGGCAAGATAAAAATGACACCAGATAAACAACTACTTCTTCCTCACTTGTTTTCCAAGAAAGGTATATAGTTCTAGTGATTTTGTGCCAAGTTCCACTACAAAAGTTACTGTAAGAATTAATTACTTTTATGATTGTTTCTTTTCATGTGTGTTCACATGCATGTGGGGGTGGGTGTATGCATGAGTACATATATGACTCTGGAGGTTTGAGGTTATGTTGAGAATCTTCCTTGATTGCTCTTTCACCTTATTCTCTAAGACAGGGTTTCTCAACCAAACCCAGAGCTCACCTCTTTCAAAAGTCTCCTAAGCCAGCTTGCTCTGGGGACCTATTTCTATCTTCCATGGATTGCAGGTTGGCAGCTACACCCACAAAGTGTTCACATGGGTTCAGGGATCCAATCTCTGGTACTCTTGCTTGCTTGGGCAGTAACTACTTAACTACTGAGCTATCTCTCCAGCCTCAAATCATTTTATATTTGTATGGTAGTATTCTTTGAAACAGTACTTCATTCTCAGCCCAAGCTGTACAGGCTGGTCTTAAACTCTCAGAGATACTCCTGCCTCAGCTCTCCAAATGCTTTATTACAAGTCTGTACAACCACATGAGCTTCTAAATTTTTGTACACAGAAGTCCATATTAGGACAGTAGGATAGGAATGTGTGTGTGTGTGTGTGTGTGTGTGTGTGTGTGTGTGTGTGCACTTGTAAGAATGCACGCTGCTCCTGGTCCCAGGTTCTCAGAAATGTGAAAGTTTAATTAGATTCTGGAGTCATGGACTAATGACAACTGTATCAATTCTGAAGCAACTACCTCATTCTAGCTTTTCAGGCAACAAACCAGAAGTCCTCATCTTGACTTCTCCTTTTTCTTCACTCTTTAGTATTAGCAATTCCTATCCATTTGGGGACAGAGTGATTACCAAGTGTGAAAACTGGGAGATAGTGGAGGATCACACTTTACACTGCTGTAAAGGGTCTTGAAGGCAGAACACGTGGAATAGGTTAGGAGGAGAAGACAGAGAATAAACTTCTAATGATTTTGTTACCATGAAGCCAGTATTCCCAAAGTGTGGGTCTATAGGAGAATGACTCTAATCCATAGAAATGCTTATGCTATGGCCCAGTGCTAATGACAGAAATGTTTTATTTATACTGAACAATGTGGCTACTAGATACATATGGCTATACAGGCTGCAATTAAATATGAATACAATTTAGTGCCTTATTTGTCCTAAACACTTTTCAAGTTCTCAGAAAACTATAGTTATTAAAATTTTAATATTTCTACAACTGGCATATTAGCAAGAAAACATTTTGGATTATCAAATTAACATTGGGTAAATTTGCATGTATTCTTGAGAACGCAAATGCATTTCATTTCCTTACTTCCTTTATTATGTTCTACCAACTCCAGTCTAAAGCCAGCGTGTTTGTACTTAGCTGGTTTAATGGTTAGAAATCTCATGACATGTCAGGTCCTATAAAAAAAAAGTTGGCATTCAGAAATATATTACTTGGACTACACGGGTAATTTGGTCAAGCTATTCTGAGTGGAAATATTGCTAATATAGAATGACTAGAAATTCTGACTCAGAAAATTTAATATTTAAAATAATTTTAGGTTCAGATATCCAAGCCTAGAGCTTCACAGCTTAAATATTTATTTCTTTGAAGCATGAAGCAGACACAAAAACAGTGTCTGAGGAGAACTTTGGGCATGCATGCCTAAAGGAATGTTTTCACTTTGTGTAGAGATGGGCTCCTACTTATCCAAGAGGACATAGGCTTTGCCTTCCATGTATGTGTATTGCACTGTTTTGAGATAAGGTCTTCTTGCTTTTAAGTACTGGTGGCCTGGCACTCCCTCATGCAGCTCACTCTGGCCTTGAACTCATGTGAACCCTCCTGCTTCGGCATGCCAATTGGTAGAACTATCAGTGTGTGCCACCATGTCCAGCACTTTTTAAACATTACTGGACTTGTCCTTACTTTGCAGAAACAATAACAGAATTAGTAATGATATTTTCCTTTCATGGAGGGCCTACTGAGAGGCTACGGGCTACACACATGATTGTGTATATCTTTTACTTCTTACAGCTATATAATCAAAGTCCTACCCTTGCTGTTTTATAGATACATAGACTGAAGCAAGAAAAACAGAGGACGTGTTTTTAAGGTTATTAAAGAATGTCACTCCCAGTGCCAAACACACACATACAACTAGAGGCAGCTACTAAGGTCATATAGTTAATTAGTTGGTGGACATCAGTATTGAGGTGTAATTACTTGACCTTCATTTGGTCCCATAGAAAATTCTACTCTTTGGGGTGTCATACTGTTGGCTTACAAGAGAAATGCTTAAAGAAAGTGTCCATATGAAACACACACTGAAAAATGATGAAATCTTCATTGGCTATCATTTCCACCAGTACCTAGTCTGAGGACTGCAAGGAGAAACGGCAGAGCCAGAAACATTCCTCCTAAGCCAATGGGCTTCTTGTCCAACCAACAATGGCATTTCTTAACCACTAGTAATGTTGATTTCACCATTAGGGAGCTCAGAGCAATACATGCAATCCTCTCTGGTGAACACTCATGCACTTCTTTATTGACTTTAATTACTGTTCTTCCATTAACTTCCTCATGTCCTGATTTACTCCAACTTGGGCATACACTCTCAGGGTCAAAGCCAATGCCAGTTATAAAAACCATGTATTATAGTGCAATATATTTTGCAAATTATTATAATCTGTACCAAAGCAGTATGACCAAGTTACAACAGGCTCCTTTCCAAGAATACAATATGTTCCAGAACCTGAGTTATAGATATCCTTAATTCAGTAATTTACATTAAGAAAATTATTTTAGAAGAGGGAGGGATGGCTCAGTGGTTAAGGGCACTTATTCTTGCAGAGGACCTGGGTTCTATCTCCAGCACTCATGTAGCAACTCATAACCACCCATAACTCCAGTTATGGAGGCTCCAACACCTTCTTCTGGCCTTTGGGTACCAGACATATACACAGAGTGCACAGACATACATGCAAGCAAAAGACTCACAGAGAATAAATCTTTAAAAAGTTATTTAAAAATTTCTATTCTCTACTTGTTTTCATTTATTTGTATTTGTGTGTGTTCACACCTATGCCACAGTGTTTGTGTGAGAAGACAGCCTGCAGGAGGCAGCTCTTTTCTTCTATCACATGGGTTCCTAGGATTGAACTGAGGTTATCAGGGTTGGTACTTTTACCTGCACACAATTCTAAAGCAGGGCTGTCCAACCTTTGACATGATGTTGTCATTTATAAAGGTGCTGGGTAACATAGCTATCCTGGGACTGCCTACAGACTTCGGGGTATAGATTAGACATGCCTGGTATAAAGCAGCTCCTGGATACTAGCTCAGCGAGTAAACACGTCAGTACAGTACTCGGGTCTACTTCATATTGTCAGTGATCACTCTGATGTATGTGGTCGGTAATGTAGTAGTTTTATTAATAGTTCATTTAACCACTCTGTCTTTATTCTAAACAAACAGGAAACAGCATTAAAAAAAAAAAAAGGCTACCATGTTTCTTGTTTGTCTATTTGAAAAAGGATGGAAACTTGCAATGTAAACCAGATTGGCCTCCTCAAATCTCCGAGATCTGCCTGCCTCTGCCTCAGAAGTGCTGAGATTACAGAGTGCACTACCATGACATAAAGTGATTTCTAATTACTCTAGGAGAGTGTTGTTACTTATTTTGCAGACTGAGTGATCAATATACTCATAAAACTAATGAAGTTCAAAGGACTCTCCCTAAGTTTCACCAGCTGAAGGAAATCAGAAAATGGACTTCCTGGAAGGTAGGACAGAGCAGAATGGAATACTTAATCTTTAAAGATTTAAACTGGACAGAAACAGAAGTCTTTCAGAAAAGATGGTTTGATCTTTCCTCTGAGTCCTGGAATCTAACCACTGAGGGAAGACTTTTATCACGGAACAAGACAAAGAGAAACATCTGATCTCCTGAAGCATAAATGTCCTTAGGCCAAAATGGTTCAGTTCTGTGCAGGTGATGATGTGGCAAAAGGCAGCTCCTGCTACTTGCTGCATTTTTAAGAAGGAAGTATTAATTGTACCACTTAGTAATGTTTCCCAAGTTCCAAGGCTAGCTGGTTCAGGAACTAGAAACATATTCTATGGTCTAAGCTATAACCTGGAGATCTTTCTGAGGTTTTTTTATGTTTTGTTTTTCTGGGGGTGGGGGAGTGAGAAGGATGATAGTCTAATCACATTCTGATGTAAAATTAAATGTCTCTTCATTGCACTTTTAGCCCTTTGAATGATTAAGATTACATCAGCTTATATCCATACTTCTTAGGGTACTGATGTAATTTATATGAGGAAGTTAGAACTAAAGTGAAGTACTCTCCATAATATTCCATTTATAAAGCCTATTTTCCTCTTAAACATCTTATACTAAGAAATCAGGATGTACCTTATGTGCAAAATGCATACATTATATGTTTACAGTATTTGTGGGTTGCTTTTTCATATGTTTTAGCTGGAAAGCAGTATTTTATTCTCTTTCACTCATTTAACTATGATTTGTTAAGGGGAATTAAATGTTCATACTTACCACAGGAAATGGGGACAATCATGTCTGTTTTAAAGAAAACAAACAGCATGTTAGGAAAAAAAAAGAAAAAAGAAAAAAAAACAACAACAACAAAAAAAAAACAGAAAGGTCGCTGTACTCACCTGAGGATGCTGTGGTGTTCGTAGGGGTGGAAGCAGCTGCTTGAATCCGAGCATGGGGAGGAATAAGGATGGTGGCCAGAGGCGGGTTACTTGACAGTTCTAGAGGAATGGAAACAAAGGTTAGAGTGTCATCTCCACCCTCTACAAGGAACTCCTGCATAGTAGAAATAAGATACCATAGTAAAACAGTTTAACTCCACCAGTTAGGTAGTCATCAAGTTAGAGAGGAAGAGCAGTCATGTGACACAAAACTGATGTTTAAGAACTAAATTTTTCTTTGGCAAAGGTAGCAGTGAAAAGTTGGAGAGTAAGCACATTTGTAACTCCCAACAATCACCCTGACTGACACTCTGCAGCACGTGACTCAGTGCTCCGGAGCAGAACTTAAGAGCAACAGCAAACAGAAATGGTCAAGTGAACAAAAAGGCAGTCAAAGGGAGGCAAATAGGATTACCAAAAACATCAGCATTCTCACCCCATTTTACATTCCTTAAGAAGTTAGTGGTGAAAAGTTTGAAAGTTTTTTACCCTAAAAGTGAGATTATTTCTGCCAATGTTACAGACACTACCTTGTTTTGAAAAATCAACTTCCATTATGTCTTAGATTATGTTTAAGATGAACTGAAGCCAATGATATCAAAGCTATACATGGTTAGCAGTGGTGGTGAGCTTGCATATATATCTGGTGTTAGTTTCAAGGGTGAGTGTCCTCCAAGTCTGCCAGGAAGAACCCTGCCATGCTGGTACTCTAGCACATAACCTATGAACTCCCTTCTCCTTCTCCCAGGTGTTGCAGTTTGGAATGCTAAGTATGTGCTCACACTACCACTCTACATCTTGACAATTTAAATGTATGGCATTAACTATAAGCTGAGGAATAAGGGAAACCCCAAACCCAGTAAGTAGTCTGAGGCTTCCTTTTAGTCTTCCGTAAACTTCTTTCATCGAGCTAATGGAAAGAGAAGTGTTTTGATGCAACCTTTTAAAAGGGTTTTAGAGTCAAAACCTTTTTGCCAACAATGTTTCATTTATGGATTGGCAACTAAGTATTAACTTTGTACTAAATTAAGATTTTAAGTAAGACTATATTCTAACCAAGAAAAGCAATAAACTGATACCAGGATTTGTGAAAACGTTAATGGGAGAAAAAAGTTTGAAAGGCAGAAAGAGACTCATCGGTCAGTGGGAATGTTTTCTAGCTCAGCAAACAGAAGTCTTTTCTTTGGGAAGCTGTGTCCTAATTAGGATGTAAGAGGTGTGTGCAGCTCCCACTGAGGAACAAGAAGATGCTACACTGCTCCCGGCTTTACACTGCTCCCTTGAAGCCAGGCAGTTTAACAATATTCTAACTGGGCCAGCAATGGAATCTGGTATGGCTGATTAATACTGCATTAATATATGGTAGTTATTCTTCATTAACCTAAATGAAATTTAAACTTGCTCTCCCAAGTAAAATCCCCTAAAATAGAAAGGAAAAAACAAACAAACAAACAACCCACCACCCATCCATGTACCCATCTATCTAGTAATATTGGACACAAAACAGTATGTTGGGTCTCAGGGTAGAGAGATTTAAGAAGTAACTGTCTTTGTTGGGTCAACAGAAAATAGAAATGGTCAGCTGGGTGGTTGGTAATGCATATCTTAATCCCAACACTTGGGAGGCAGAGGCAGGTGGATCTCTATGAGTTCAAGGCCAGCCTGGTCTACAGAGTGAGTTCCAAGACGCCAGGGCTACACAGAGAAATCCTGTCTCAGAAACAAAACAAAAAGAAAGGAAAATAGAAATGGTCAAATGAACACAGAGGCAGTTCAGAAAGGGACTCAAATCCATTAGGATGACAGCACTTTCAAATTAAAAGTTCCCCACATGTTCAACATCCACAGGAACCCAAAAGAAGAAAGGATGACTAAGAAATACTGTATGACGTGTGCTGGCAAAGCTTCTGTGAAGGCAAACCTTAAATCACACTGGGTCAGAGGTATCTTTGGTGGCTTTCCTCAAAGCCCATGCTGCCAATTTCCTTGTTATTCACTTTCTCTTTTCAATTCACCTGTTTAGTGTATGTGTGCACTCAGCTTACCCAGACTAAGAAATCACTTGTATTGCTACCAGCAGAACCTTGGTATTCATTCACAATTCCTTCACATAACAGTAGCTATCTAGATGCTTTCCACTACATAATCAAGTAGAGGATTGTGCCTCGTACTTTAGCCTCTTGAATTACACAGTTTTATTCTGATCATCCTCTTAAGAAGTCTGCATTTAAAGTTCACTTACACAACCGTGTATAGATATACGTATATGTATATGCATACATGTGTATATACACACAAGAGACAACACAAACACACACACATACACACACTCACTCACAAGTGAATCTTAATATATTTAGTCTGATAAGAAATGAGTCTCAGGATATATTTACAGAGTATACTATTCAAAGGCCCATGTATAATCTTCTTTGATAGTCATAGAATCACAAAACCCTGCTACTGACGATTCATCTACCCACATTACATCCAAATACACACATGTAATGGTTAGTTTTAACTGACAACTTGATATGATCCAGAATTCCTTGGGAAGAGATTCTTGATGAGGGACAGTTTAGCTGAGGTAGAACTGTGGACACACCTGTAAGCAATTTTAATTATGTACACTGATTTGAGAAGACCCAGTCTAAAAGTATGTGGCAGCATTTCCTAGGTTTGGGTACCAGACTGTATCAGGGTTGAACTTCACAAAGCAGTTGCATTCATTCTCTCTGCTCCAGACTGTGGATATGACTAGCTGCTTCGAGTTCCTGATGCCATGATCTCCTTGCATTGAGGACCTACCTGGAGATGGAAGTCAAAGAAACCCTTTCTCCCCTAACAGTGCCTTTGCCAGGTATTTTATTACAGCAAATGGAAAGGGAACTAGGACATGTATTCTTCAAACCCTGAAAAACATATCCATACTCAGACCATGAAGAATCCTATTTATGTTTGATACATCAGCAAGTAAAACAGTTTTAATATCAAAATAAAATATTCATTAAAAATGTGAATATTAGATATGTTTATGGTTAAAGGTTGAACTATATTAGTTTTCTTGAAATTCTGAGTGCGTTTTTAAAAGAGATGCACCAAAGCTAAGCATTATCTGCAGGACTTAAGTGTGTACACACTTGTGGGTGCTTATGTAGGTGAACAGATATAAGGAGTGGAGGAAGCCCAGAGTGAATGTGTTGTTTACATAAGCTGGCCATGTCAAGGATTCCAGAGCCTCAGACCCATGGATGAATGGCAAAAAGTTCCCACCCCACCTCAGGATGAGGCTCACAGGAAAAGGGGCAAATTGTTCCCTTCTGGTCTATATGTGGACATTAATAGTATGTGCAGACAATGTCCATCAGTGTTTTCCCCTGGTTCTCCTACAGAGACTTCTTTACCAGGCTAAACCTGCCTGCTTGACACAACTGTGTGTCATAAACCCCGCCTCCTTATTATATCTGTATGTAATAACCCTACCTCCTTTTCACCTGTATGCTACTTCTCTGTTCACCTCTATATAATAAACATGCTGAGCTTCCAGGGTGCTGAGCCAAGAGCCCAGACCACCAGATCCCAGATTCACTCCGTGTGTGTGTGTGTGTGTGTGTGTGTGTGTGTGTGTGTGTGTGTGTGTGTGTGCGTGCGCGCGCGCACGCACGCACGCACGCGCGCGCACGTGTGCCTGTCTGTCTGTCTGTCTGTCTGTCTGTCTGTCTGTCTGTCTGTCTGTCCTTCATTTCCTCCACACCCCAGTCAGGTCCAAGTCCCTAAGTATGAAGGACACAGCAAATAGGTAATGGCATTTATTGAATTTTGACTCATTACAGTCATTAAGATACCATTTCACATCCACTAGGAGAAGAAAAAAAAAAAAAACCAAACACACCCATGGTATGGATGTAAGGTATTCAGCTGTGGAGACAGTGTGCTAGTTTTTCTAAACAGAATCATCATGTGACCAAGTAGTGTCTATCATCATGTGACCAAGTAGTACCCCAAGTAGTCAAGAAGGTATTTACATATAAACTGTCACAACAGTACCCAAGAGTCCATCACAGATGAACACCTAAGTACAGCCACACAATGGAAAACTGTTCATCCACAAGAAGGAAGGAAGGACCAATACATGCTCTATGAATGAAAATAGGTTAAGTGGAAATTAGATACTAAGGATCACACATTATGAGTTCCATTTATATGAACTATCTCAAATGGGTAAATCCATGGAGACAAATAAAATACTGCTGCTAGAGGCTGAGAGATGGAAGGGGAATTCATGCTTAATGGGAACATGATTTTCTTGAGCAGAGAAAACGTTTTGGAAATGAATAAAGGTATTAGATGCATAGCATGAGGAATATACAAATGACACAATGTCAATTTATGTGTTTTATGTGTGAGTGCTCTGTGTGCCTGAATGCCAGAAGAGGACATCAGATCCCATTACAGATGGCTGTGAGCTGCCAAGTGGCGGCTGGGAATTGAACTCAGGACCTCTGGAAGAGCAGAGAGCTCACCCAACTGCTGAGCCATCTCTTCAGCACCTCTGTTTGCTTCTTAAAAAAGAAATCCTTCATGAATTTCATCTCAGTCAAAAACAAAAACAACAAACAAACAAAAACAAAAACCCTCAGGGATTTGTTGAATTGGTAATTTAAAAATTTTATTTCATTAGTAGTAATAGGTTATTCTCACTGGTGAGTAAGAATCAAATGGATTATTTCAAAACAAAGAGAACAATATAAACTTAAGTAGTATGGACTCTGAAATCTAATCAAATAAGTTTACGTGGTATTCCACTTTACACACACGTATATTCACACACAGTAAAGAATATATGCTAACTATGTCTAGAAATAATGAGAATTATCCTCTCAAATCTACTAATCAGTATTTATATGTATATATTTGTTGCATATCTGACCAGGGGTTTTGCTAATTAGTTTATTTTGAATTAAAAAATATTTATTGTTGGAAAAGTTGGTGTGAACAAAATCTCGATCAGTGCTGGCTTGTCATAAATGGTTTAAAAAGAAGAAACTTAACACTTAGAGTTCCCAATATAAAGACACTGTTGCAATTGGCTGGAGGTCACAGGCCCTTAGAGATTACTTTTTTAAAAAGTACTCTCAGTGGCCAGGTGGTGGCGGCACACACCTTTAATCCCAGCATTTGGGAGGCAGAAGCAGGAAAATTTCTGTGAGTTCAGAGCTAGCCTGGTCTACAAAGCAAGTTCCAGACAGGCAGGACTGTTACACTGGCTTAAAACAAAACAAAACAAAAAGTACTCCAGTGAATAGTTATACCGTATAGACAGTAAATATATGCTTACAGTACAAAAGAAAATACAAACTGAAAATGAGCATCATAAAAGTGGGCATCATACTTTTCAGATGTCCTCATAAATTTTAAAAGTGCCTTATATAAAATATTCAGATGACATAACCAAAAACATTTCATGACAAAAAACAAAATACCCATACGCATAAAATAAAAAGCTTTTAAATTTATTTTATGCATATGTGTATTTTGCCTACATGTGTATCTGTGTATAGCATGTATGTCTGGTGCCTGCAGTAGTCAGAAGACGGTGTAGGATTCCCTGGAACTGAACTTACAGATGACTGTGTGCTGCAAGTGTGGGGAAGAGCAGTAGTGCTCTTAATTGCTAAGCCATCTTTCTAGCCCTGAATTTTTCTTTTTTATTTGTCAAATCCATAAGACAATTATTTGAAAATTGTACTTTTTGTATCATTGCTTTTTATAATTAATAAAAAGTTGGTTTTTGTTTTGCTTTGTTTTTGTTTTTTTTGCCATGAAATGTTTTTGGTATTAGAAATTTTGAGGAGAACTACACTACTGTATGCTACAATGTGATTATTATGAAGGGTTGTGCCTTTACTTTTCTCTGTATTTCTTCTGTTTCCAGCATTTTCCTTACCATGCCTCGCTCTTGGTGAAAGCCAAAGCATTAAGGAATAAAAACCAATTTTTCTTTATCAAGAGAACTAAGAGGTCAGTTAACACCTTTTGTCAAATTGCAGTTGCCCCATCAATGAGGGTGGAAGGAAGTGAACACTAAAATGGTGGAGAAATGATGGCCATCTTTAGATTTCTCATAAACCACCAATGAACCAGTGAACTAAGCTTCCTTTTAGTGTTTCCTAAGCAATGGGGCCAAGCCCAGAAGGGATGGGAATTTCTGTCTATTCCTCTTGCATAAGTCCCAAGTTTTATAGGATCATCCAGTTTACAGAAATTCAGTTGTGGTTAAAACACACAGTGTAATAAGTTACAGGCATTTCTTACGTCCACAAGTACTTAATATGACCAGTTGTCTACAGATTGGCATTAACAAAGTGTCATTTCACATCCATTTACCCAGTGTTTTACGTTTCTACTGCTGTGGTAACACATCATGACCACAGCAACTTATAGGAAAAAAAAAAAAATGGGGTGCTTATGGTTCAGGAAGTCTACTTAGAGTCCATGAGAGTAGAGGAGGTGACAGGCAGTTGGAGCAGCAGCAGCTCACATCTCAAACCACAAATAGAAAGAAGCAGAGAGCACACTGGGAATGAAATCTCAAAGGCCACCCCAGTGATACACTTCTCCAACACCTACCTCCTAAATCCTCTCCCAATTGGGGCCCAAATATTCAAATGCTGGAGACTTATGGAGGACATGTCATTCAAACGACCACATCCAGAAACAAATTAAAAATAAAATGTCTGGAATTACCTTGAGTGGTAAAGTTGAAGAGTGCAGGTGTGTCTCGCCCATTTGGTAGTTTGACATTTGGGTCCCGTAATTCATCAAAAAATGAATGTGCACAAGCTTCCAGTGGTGTTAATCGGGCGGTTGGTGTATACTCCAGTAGACGGCTACACAGTGCAATTGCCTCTGGTGGAGTTCGGGGCCGGAAGACCTGAAAGGACAAAGAAGTGGACAGAACAATTAAGTTCTATTATAAGAACCTAAAGAAAAAATCCATTGAGTACTGAGTTAATTACCACTATATAAAAACATGGTTACAAAATCCAGAATTAAAAGAGTTAACTGCATGTGATGTACCACAGTAGGGTGAACTATTTGCTAATAAAAAAACTATGCAAGCAAAGCTCAATGAACAACCTACTTCTTAAGCACAAAGAACATAATTAATTAAGCACGCCTACAACTACTATAGACATAAATGCTGAGATCTGAGGCAAGCACAACTACAAGAATATTTTTAACTTAAAAGTGTTGACTGTTGTGGCCTCTGGTACTCTTTTTGGCAGAACATTTGTTGAGAATGGATAGCACTCCTCAGATCTTATTTTTCAAATAAGTATCTATTAAATACCTATTTTTTTTTAAAGGAGATGAAAATCTTTGTTCTAATTGTAAAAAAATGCTTATGGTCTGGTATTATCTTTTTGTCTTCCATTATTCAAAGACTATGGAATACCTAGACTTTCTGAAATGTCTGGCATTGGTCTCTTCATAGTTGGTTAGTTCATTCTCATTTGAATTCTTTGAATGAATATAGTCTGGAGTTTTAAATTGGGCAAGAAGAACTTACACTTTTAGTAAAAGCCATTAATTTACAGAAAGGTCAACTGAAGTCTATATTATTAATACTAATTAAAATAATTTGCTTAAAAGAACAGATAGCTTTATACTCACTGTGTCTTAATATGAATCAGTATATATAATGATGAAGACAGACTTTATTCTAAATTACAGCTAGTTAAAGGCTAAAACAGACGGGCAAAACATAAGTATGAACAGATGGGACACAGAACCTTTGAAATGAAAGAAAAATAAAACCTATTCCTTGACAGAAAGAATATGCAAGCAAAGCAAGGGTGGGGTTGGTGAAGACAAAAAGAGCATGCAGGGCTCTGGGAGGCTAAGGTTTCCTAATGAGAGAGGCTCAGATTACTTGGGCTGAAGGCAGGAGAACTTGTTATTACTACAGGGCTTGTTAATATTCAAGAGATTTCATGAGCACTTCCTAAAACACTAAAGGTAAATGGAGGGGTTGTTTTCTTTCCCCTTTAAAAAATATAGTTTATTACAGAAATTTTCTGTAATAGTTCATTATAGAAACTACAAATTATTTTCTACAAAAATTGAGAAAGTGCCTTGAATAGGATCTTAATTTATTTTGAAGCTTGGTCAATTTAGAATTTCAATGGGCTATTTTAGAAAGCCCCTTTGCAAGGTCAAAACTGCCTTGTCTGAATGCTTTCAAGTACTGTAATTTGGTTTAGCCAAGGGAATCTCAAAGGGGCTACACAACTTAAAATGTTTTGTTTTTCCACCATTCTTGATCACCACCCTCTCCCTTATTTCCAAGTGCCAATCAAATCCAGAATTCAAAAAAGAAAAACAGTAGAAATTGTCATAAAAATATCAAAATTAGCCAGGTGGTTCTTTGTGAGGTCAAGGCCAGCCTGGTCTACATAGTGAGTTCTAGGATAGCCTGAGCTACATAGTGAGAGCCTGATTCCAGACAAGAAAAATACTAAAATTACTACTGGTAGTTTTTAGCTACTTGACAATATATAGATTTACTGGCTAGCTAATGCAAAATGGCTTGGCACCAATTATGTTAACAGGTGAGTAGAAGTAAGACAGTACTTGAATATAAAAACAACTCTTGCTAAAATTCAAGAGCAGGAGAATAAGACAGAAGGTTATTTTAAATCTAAAAGTGCATGCTTGACTGTGCATGGTGATCAGCACCTAAGAGGCAAAGGCAAGTGGATGTCTGTGAGTTTGGGACCAGCCTGAATTACACTGTGAATTTGACGGCACATTGTGAGGTTTTGTCTCAAAACACAAACAAGCAGGTGGCGGTGGTGGCACATGCATCTCTGAGAGTTCAAGGCCAGCCTGGTCTACAGAGAGAGAGAGTTCCAGGGCAGCCAGGACCACAAAGAAAAACAAAAACAAACAAACAAACAAACAAAAACCAAAAAACCTGTTTTGAGAAACAAAAAATAAAACCAAAACAAAAATGAAAACAAAACTACACATAAGTAAAAACAAACCAAACAAACTAAACCATGCTATATTAATGATGGTTTTCTTGTTGAAAGTCTTAATACATTAGAGTTCTGGTCCTATTTTGGACTATTTAAAAAATCCATTCCCTGTATCTGTTTTGGTATTTTACTGTCTACATGTAACCATCTACCATTTGGGTACTAAGGCATATATATTAGCTTATTTTATGAAGAAATCCTAAGGAGGAACCAGAGAGTTAAAAAAAATAATCTACTCCAAAAGTCTTTATTAGAATAGATTTAGCCTGCCTTTTTAAAAAGTATTCAATGACTTTAAGTTTTTATGAGATTCCTCATGAGAAAACCTTTAGTTCAGTACCTTGTGGATAAAGGTAAAGTAGGAAATTATGTAAATCAAAACCTAGTATCTCCCAGAATTCACATTTCTGACCACAATAAGGGGTGTGATAGCATGCAACTTCCAAAACGAACAGTCCTGACTGGACACCAACAGCTAATGAAAGGCAGTTTCTAATCAAGTTTCTACTTCCACCTCATTCCTTACACACTGAAATAACAGAGAACCTTTGGCTACATCTAAGAATAATTAAAATTCCCTTAATTCATAAACTGTAACCTAGCCGTCAATGGATGCTGAGAAGCTAAATATACAATATGAAAACCTATACCAAACAGTACAAAAACAGAAACCATTTCCCCACATTGCTTTCATTAGCATATTCAAGAACGAACAGAAACATTTTCCAAGAAACATTTTCCCTAGTGTTATAAAACTGACCTAAAGTTAAAAAAAAAAAAAAAAAGTACATACCCGTACTCCTGGGGTGAAATGTCCTGTTCCTGACGAATCCTAAAGGTGATAATGCAGTGAAATAATCCAAACAGGGGAAGTCAATGCAAAAGAGAATAGTCCAGCAAGGAAAAATATATCCAATGTTATAAGAAATCCATGGTGTAGGGGACATAGAAAATGTTTATACAGTTATAAACTTTTAAGCATTCGTCTCCACAGTAGCAAGTCCAAATTTTAAAAATTATTTCACCACAAGTGTATGCAAAAAAAGTTTGTGATTTGTGCAATGGTGAGGCACAGTAAAGAAACATTTCTGTTTTAGTTTATTATGTTCTGATGCCAGTGTGTTTATTAAAAAAATACAAAACCAAAATAAGTGAAAATCAAAATGAAATCTAGAAGTAAAGTTCCCAAAGTAAAGTGGTCTTCTATGACCTGGAGTCATCATCCATAGACAGGGCTGGGAGGGGCATATTGGCCTGCTTTTAAAAATGGATCTTCCCAATATGCTAGAATTTCATAATTATTGTTTCAGTTACACAGTATAAACATTTTTTTGCTAAATTATTGGTCATGTGAGGAGTATTAATATTACTACAAATTTCAAGCCAGATACTTTTAATTTGTGTGAGCTAAGAAAAGAATCAGGCCACCGCGGATTATTCTCTTTTTTGGATTGACTTCCCTGCTAGAAGATACTTATTTACTGACAGTCTCAATATTATCAGGACTCTTCAGGAAGCTGACATATCACCTCAGGAGTGCGGGTATAAACTTACTGTTTTTCTACTGTGGGCTTTGCCCCCTCATACCCTTGCACCCATGACTTAGGAAAAAAATAAATATAGAGCAGTCTCTCCTTTTTGCAAAAACTCACTGAAAAAAAAAAAACTTTATCTTTGAGTAGTACCAATTCAACACAGCTTCATCTGCAAATATGCCCAATTCACCCACCAAAAGCTAAACAAAAATTTATACAATAAACAAAACAACTAAGGGACAGTCACAGTTACAGGTGACATGCAGAATAATGCACACCAACACCTAGGCAAAACGGAGCCAAGTTTGCAAGGGAGGAGCAGGGTCTATTGTGTCTAGGTATTGAGAACACAAAATTGGCAGAGTTCACCAGTAGCTGTGAACTCCCTTGACTAAGCTAAGAGAATGTAACATTCTTTTAGGATAGTTTCCAGTGGGAGAATTAAAAATTTTGCAAAAAATAAATAATCCGCGGATTACTTTTAGTCTGCAGACTAAATGTAGTGCACAAGATTAAAATCTGGCCCATCAGAATAAAAATCTTAAAACACAACCATGAGGACAAAAATAGAAAATCACACCAAAAAAAAAACCCCTAAAAGCATAAAGAAAGACTCAACTGGGCAAACTAACAATTAGTATGCAGACTAAATATGGCCAGCCAAGTATGCAGCAAGGCCACAGACACCCCTTTAAAAGCTAAAATAAAAAATAATAAAACAAAACAAAATGAAACAAAGCAAAAAAGAAAAAAAAGAGGAAAATGAAAGAAAAAGAAAATAATCAAATGAACTAAAACACTGACATGAACTTTTGAGTGCTTCAAATAATACTACCTCACCTATGCAGCAACATATTTTCTTAAAGTCAAACAATAGACACATCACAATTTCTAGTCCTTGGTGGGGGGGACTATCACAAAAATTCATTTCCCCCCAAAGTCTCTGTGTTATGCAACAAATGCAAACAAATCCTTAAATGAAGAATTATTCAAAGTAAATTTGCATTTGGGTAACTCAGATAACAGAGACAATGTTCTAAGACTTTGGCTGTAAAAGTCCAGCCTGGAGTTAAGTGCTAGGGCAGAACCCGAGGTCCCTCAGAATAGCTCTTACGAACAATCACATACACACCAAGGCTGCTTCTCAGTGTCAGCTCCCACCACAATGCTGTATTATGACCCAATCTAACCAATACACAATGCCCACTTCTTATGATTAGAGAGAGTGGGAAATAATTTACAAGAACACAGAAAAAAAATCTATGACTGTTTCAAACAGCTATCCCTACCAGCTTCCACTACAAGCTCATGAAACTGACACAATTTTCTGGGGCACAGACAAAATATAATCCCTAGTTCTAAAAATTGGTAAACCATGAATACTAAAGAGCAACATCGGTCTCAAGTAATCTAAAGCTATTTGCAATTAATAAACCTAGATAGAAGATTAAAGTGAGACATATCAGGGGTCTGTAATAACAACAAGAGAAACCAGCCAAGTGGTTTTCTAAGTATTTAACTTAATAATTAAGTAACATACTATTTAAAAATATCCTTTATTGGTATTTTGCAAGCTCTCATACATTGATCCATTGACACAATGAAATATAAGGTAATTCAAGCCACTATAAACTACTAGTCCCCCACCCTACCCCCAATCTACTGAAACTAATTTTCAGGGAGTCGACAAGGCAAGTTTATGTCTGAAGTCACTGTCTAATGGTGGGTCACAAACTGGACATAGCTCAAGCTTCATCAAGACACACACTTTCTAACTTTGGAGGGTTAGAAAGGCAGATAAAGAACATCAAGAACAAGAAACACAAAGAACCCTTTTATTCTTAGCTATGTTAAAACTAGCCATAGCATTTAACGAATTTCAACTGCACTAATTAACATGCTGAATTTTCCTGAATTGCATGACCTGTAAGGAAACCTTTACAGACAGTAGCATTGACCTATACAATGTAACTCCACCTCTAACATCCTCCTAGATCAAACATTACCGAAGACCTACACATAAACACCATTACCAAATGACCAGTTAAACCTGTCATGTTTTTGCAAAACAGCTATTGGAATTAAGCTGGTCTTCCTAAAAGTACGTGAGTATTTCCTTTTCATCTATATCTCCCATCTTAAGACGTCTGCCCAGCACACAACAATGCCTAGCCTTTTTTTCTGTACCTCAGCAAATCATCATGTCTTTCTGTGTGTCTCTCCTTTTAAAAATGTGTGTGTGTGTGTGTGGGGGGGGTGTGGGTGTGTGTGTGTGGGTGGGTGGGTGTGGGTGTGGGTGTGTGGGTGTGTGGGTGTGTGGGTGTGTGG